ACTCTTTCACTTGTTACATTTAAAAAAAAAAAAAGATAATGCAACAAGTGTAACATTTTCAAGTCAGTGGGTAATAAGAACTAACACTGGCACAGGTAAGTTAGTTCTCACAGACTTATTCCAGTCACTTTCATTAGTGGCAGGTTTTTCTTGATGAACAAAAGCATTTCTGCTTTGTCACCAGACAGGCGACTTCTTTTCTCATCTACTACATGTCCAGCCAAGATAAACAGGCGCTCGCTTTCAACGCTTGTGCATGGGGCAGAGAGATAGGTTCGGGCAAGTAGAGCAAGATGAGGGAAACGATTTTCATTGATCTTCCAGTAGACCAATGGGTCCTGGCTCCTTTGGACAGGAACCTCAGATAGGTAGTTCTGTACCTGCATAGCTGAAGGGCTGGCCAGCTGTTGCTCCTGTTCAATGTTCTCCTTCAAGATTTCGTCGTGAGCTGCAAACAGTAGACTACGCCTTTTGGCTGCAGGTTCATCGATATCAGGAGGTCCCACTTCAGAGGATGTTCCTGCAGCAGGTGTGCATCTGGTCTCCCCCTCTGCAAGTTTGGTCAAAAGGAGCAGTTTCACGTCATCTTTCACCTCTGCTGAGAAGTAGCGATTCTTGTACCTTGTTTTGCATAAACAAAGAAAGATGGGTCAATCATTGTGTTTTGTATACATTAACAGTTTTTATGACTTGCATGTAAATAAAGAAATGCATTTCAATCAATAATTTTTTATTTTTAATTTAATTTAAATGTTTGTTGAAATATAGTAGTAGGCTAAAAGTAATTATGGCTAAAATAGAATGTTAATGGTTACTTGCCTTGGATCCAGAACAGTGGCCAAGCTGTACAGGGGCTCATGCTCAATGTTGCTGAATCTTCTCACAACAGCCTCCAGCAACGTAGCTTTGGCTGTACCCACGCCACGGTCTGTGCTCGCTTGCCTCTCCAAAATCCGCTTGAGTGCAGTGATGGCTGGGATGACATCTGCTGCTGTAGCTGTTGATGAGCTAATCTCCTTTGTGAGTTCCTCAAAAGGTGCAAGAATGGTGAGCACATTGTCCAGTAGCTCCCACTGGTGTGCTGTGAGTGTGGCTGGTAACTCATGCTCAGCAGCATACACGCCAATAGCACGTCTCTGCTCCAACAGCGACTGCAGCATGTAGACTGTGCTGCTCCACCTCGTTGAAACGTCTTGCTGTAATCGTTTCCTGGGTTGACCTAATTGTGTCTGTATGTCATAAAGTCGGGAATAGGCAAGTGATGAATGCTTAAAATGTCCAACAATTCTCCTTCCTGTTGCCACCATGTCTGTGATGCTGCGCTGCGCCAGCTGTCCCTCATTTACAACCAGTTGCAGTGTGTGCGCCAGGCAGGGTAAACTTTTCAGGTTGATATCATCCAGCGCTTTGGCCATATTACGAGCATTATCCCGTAAAACAACGTGAACTCTTCCATGATCGATTTCCCAGTGATTCAGCATCGCCTTAAACTCTGCTGATAAATTGGCCGCAGTGTGAGACCCCGCCATTTCTTTACAGTTTAAGAGTACTTGATGACGTTCGAACTGTTCATCAATCCACTGTGCAGTAAAACTTAACATGGACATTAAACTTACATCACAAGTCCAGATGTCTGTTGTAAAGCTGAGTGTATTTGTATTAGCTTTTAGCAGGCTGCGGGTGTCTCTCGAAACTTGGCTGAACAACTCCGGTAATGCAACATCAGAAAAATATTTCCGACTCGGCATATTATATCGTGGGCACACGTGCTGCATCAAGCTTCTAAAACCTTTGTCCTCAACGACTGAAAATGGCTGGTTGTCTAATGCCATGAACTCCATCACTTTCCTCGTGGTAGCTTTGCTCTTTTCGTTGCTCATAAAAGCTAACAGCGACCCACCGACTGCCTCTTTGTTAGCGCTAGCTTTAGCATTAGCCTTAGCATGGTTGCTCTCTTCAAACATTGCATACTTGGCGGCGTGGTGATTTCTTAAATGGCGAACGAGGTTTGTTGTATTAAAGGTTTTGGTGGTGGCTCCACCACGACTTACTTCGGCTTTACACGAATTGCAAATTGCGATCTTTGGCTCATTTTCTTTTACAGCGTAGAACTTCCAAACCGACGACATGGCTGCTCCGAGTGACCTGTGTGTGAGCTCTCACAGTGGAGCAAAAGGGGACAGCAGCTGATTTTCAGACCTTTCCGGAGGCAGATAAGATCGGTGGATAAAATCGGCTTCTCATTTAAAGATCGGCCGATCGCCGATCTCCCCAAATTAAGGAAATCGG